GGATGGATGTACAGATGGACATACAAATGGATGGATGGATGGATGGATGGACAGATGGACATACAGATGAATGGATGGATGGATGGATGGATGGATGGATGTACAGATGGCTGGGTGGATGGTTTGAAGGCAACCTAACGTGCATGTTTTTGAATTGTAGGAGGAAAACCACACAAACATGAGGAGGACATGCAAACTCCACACAGAAAGACCCCAGGCCCAACCCGGGGATCGAACCTTCTAGCTGTGATGCAACCGTACTAACCACTAAGCCGTGTGCAGCCTAATTTTGCTCATTTTAGCTTTTAGTTACAGTTATGCTGCGTTTGTTTATTGGCAAATGTTTTAGCTGCTTTTAGTTTTGCTACATTGAGCTTTTAGCTACGTTTTTCCTGCAATTGGCTTTTAGTTTGTCTAGCTAATTTTACAATACAATACAACTTTATTTAAAAAGCACTTTAAAACAACACCGTTGGCCAAAGTGCTGTACACTAACACATACAAGCATAAAAACTATGAACTCAACAAATACCATAAAAGTAATGAACTACCAAATCAGAAAACAGCAAACAGTAACAACAATAACACAAATAACATAAAACAATAAAGCTGTGTTCAAAGCCACAGAGAAAAAAATGAGTCATCAGAGCAGATTTAAAAACAGGAAGTGAGTCAGCTCGTCTGACGTGCAGAGGCAGCTCGTTCCACAGTTTAGGGGCAGCGACTGAGAACGCTTGGTCACCTCTCAGCCTCCTGTTGGACTTTGGGACGGCCAACAGCAGCTGATCAGCTGATCTAAGACAGCGTGAGGGAATGTACGGCTGGAGAAGGTCGGACAGATACTGTGGGGCGAGACCATGAAGACATTTGAATACAAACAAAAGAACCTTAAAATTAATCCGGAAACAAACTGGGAGCCAGTGTAGAGATTTTAAGACGGGGTGATGTGCTCTCGTTTTCTGGTGCCAGTTAAAAGACGAGCAGCAGCGTTCTGAACCAGCTGAAGTCGAGTCAGTAATGACTGGCTCAGATCTCACCACAGATTTGAGCTGCTAGCAACAGTTTATCTCATTTTTCTTTTTTCATTCATTCAGCCTTTATTTATACAGATTAATCTCATTGAGCCTCGGGGACTCATTTACAAGAGAGACCTGATTTTTTTTTTTTTTTTTTTTTTAAGTACTGTTTTGCATTCTTTTAGCTTTGGCTACTGTTATGCTGATTTTAGAAACATTAAGCTCTGAGCGTTCACACAGCAGGTTTTCGAGTTTTCTTTACACTTTATACTTACTTTTCCTCAGTGAAGGCATATTTTATATTTGATTCTCACAGCATCTGGAAAAACAAACAACAAAAGAGGGAAAAAGGAGGATCAGAAATCACTGAAGGTTAAAAATGTGCTTTAGTTATAACGATAAGGTTCAGAGTTGATGAATTTAGCATTTTTATCAGCAGTTAGCTCAGGCAGTAAGCTGCAATTGACTACAGGTCCTTCTCAAAAAATTATCATATTGTGATAAAGGTCATTATTTTCTATAATGTAATGATAAAAATGAAACTTTCATATATTTCAGATTCATTGCACACCAACTGAAATATTTCAGGTTTTTAATTGTTTTAATACTGATGATTATGGCATACAGCTCATGAAAACACAAAATGCCTGTCTCAAAAAATTAGCATATCATGAAAAGGTTCTCTAAACAAGCTATTAACCTAACCATCTGAATCAACGACGTAACTCTAAACACCTGCAAAAGATTCCTGAGGCTTTTAAAAACTCCCAGCCTTGTTCATTACTCAAAACCACAATCATGGGTAAGACTGCCGACCTGACTGCTGTCCAGAAGGCCATCATTGACACCCTCAAGCAAGAGGGTAAGACACAGAAAGAAATTGCTGAACGAATAGGCTGTTCCCAGAGTGCTGTATCAAGGCACCTCAGTGGGAAGTCTGTGGGAAGGGAAAAGTGTGGCAGAAAACGCTGCACAACGAGAAGAGGTGACCGGACCCTGAGGAGGATTGTGGAGAAGGGCCGATTCCAGACCTTGGGGGACCTGCGGAAGCAGTGGACTGAGTCTGGAGTAGAAACATCCAGAGCCACCGTGCACAGGCGTGTGCAGGAAATGGGCTACAGGTGCCGCATTCCCCAGGTCAAGCCACTCTTGAACAAGAGACTGCATCAGAAGCATCTCGCCTGGGACTGCTGCTGAGTGGTCCAAAGTTATGTTCTCTGATTACAGTAAATTTTGCATTTCCTTTGGAAATCAAGGTCCCAGAGTCTGGAGGAAGAGAGGAGACACATAATTCACATTGCTTGAGGTCCAGTGTCAAGTTTCCACAGTCACTGGGGTGTCATGTCAGCTGCTGGTGTTGGTCCACTGTGTTTTATCAAGGGCAGGGTCAATGCAGCTAGCTATCAGGAGATTTTGGAGCACTTCATGCTTCCATCTGCTGAAAAGCTTTATGGAGATGAAGATTTCATTTTTCAGCACGACCTGGCACCTGCTCACAGTGCCAAAACCACTGGTAAATGGTTTACTGACCATGGTATTACTGTGCTCAATTGGCCTGCCAACTCTCCTGACCTGAACCCCATAGAGAACCTGTGGGATATTGTGAAGAGAAAGTTGAGAGACGCAAGACCCAACACTCTGGATGAGCTTAAGGCCGCTATCGAAGCATCCTGGGCCTCCATAACACCTCAGCAGTGCCACAGGCTGATTGCCTCCATGCCACGCCGCATTGAAGCAGTCATTCATGCAAAAGGATTCCCGACCAAGTATTGAGTGCATAACTGAACATGATTATTTGAAGGTTGGCGTTTTTTGTATTAAAAACACTTGTCTTTTATTGGTGGGATGAAATATGCTAATTTTTTGGGACAGGCATTTTGGGTTTTCATGAGCTGTATGCCATAATCATCAGTATTAAAACAATTAAAGACCTGAGATATTTCAGTTGGTGTGCAATGAATCTGAAATATATGAAAGTTTCATTTTTATCATTACATTATGGAAAATAATGACCTTTATCACAATATGATAATTTTTTGAGAAGGACCTGTACAAATTAGGTTGACATTTATGAACATGCCTGGTTCAGTATCATCAAAGTTCATGCTCAGTCATCCTCGTACAAAATCCAATAATGCTCAGTCAGGTCATATGGACAGTTTATTTTTTGTGTAAAGACATTTCGCCCTCTATCCAGAGGGCTTCATCAGACTGGTTTAGTATGTTCTCTTATCGCGTTTTATGAAAAGAAACACAAACATACAAGAACAGACAAGGAAAGATGGACAGAGTTGACTGTAAATAGTTGGTGGCATCTTGAAAAGGTGTTTGCACAATCTGTCCTTAGAAAAAATGTTGGGGAACAGTCTCAGCTAGCACCACACCAAACTTTAGGTCAGTAATGGTGAAACTGACTGTATTAGAGCCATTTATGTGTTTTAAATTTTATCTGGCTCCGACAGCCATCTTGAATATTACTGACTCTAAAAGATCTGTTGTTGTTGTACCACCAGTGATATTGTTCTGCAAGTTTCACTGATATTTGTTTAGTGGTTCATGAGATATTTTGCTAACAGATAGACATAGACAATAGCATTGTCCATATTTTTTCAACAGCATATCCACCGATGACTCTGAGCCGTTGTACAAGCCTGTAAATTCCAAGTAAAGCTAGAAGACACTGGCCTGACGTGGCTGTATTGTATTTTCCACAAATATTTCTTCATTTCCTCTAAGATTCCTGAGATTTCCTCATTTTAGAAAAAGCATATGACAGGGCGCTGAGGGAGGAGGTGTAGTATTGCTTCAGGAGATCTGGAGTGGCAGAGAAGTATGGTGCAGGACATGTATGAGGACAGCAGGACAGTGATGAGATTTGCTGTAGGAGTGACAAAGAGCTTCAAGGTGGAGGTGGGAGTGCATCAAGGATCGGCTCTGAGCCCCTTCTTGTTTGCTCTGGTGATGGACCGACTAACAGATGAGGTCAGGCAAGAATTCCTGTGGACAATGATGTTTGCAGATGACATTGTGATCTGTGGTGAGAACAGGTGGAAGAGAACTTGGAGAGGTGGAGGTGTGCACTTGAAAGAAGAGGAATGAAAGTCAGTCGTAGTAAGACAGAGTACATGTGTGTGAATGAGAGGGAGGAGGTGGAACAGTGAGGCTACAAGGAGCAGAGGACACAAAGGTGCAGGACTTCAAGGACTTGGGGTCCACTGTCCAGGAAAATGGGGAGTGTGGTAAAGAGGTGAAGAAGAGAGTCCAGGCAGGATGGAGAAAAGTTTCAGGAGTGATTTGTGACAAAAGTGTATCAGCAAAGTTTAAGGAAAAGTTTACAAGACAGTGGTGAGACCAACTATGTTGTATGGTCTGGAGACAGAGACATGGACAAAAAGACAGGAGAAAAAACTGGAAGTGGCAGAAATGAAGATGTTGAGGTTCTTCTTAGGAGTGACAAGGATGGATAAGATTAGGAATGAGATCATCAGAGGTACAGCACTGGTTGAACAACTGGGAGATAAAGTTAGGGAGGCCAGACTGAGATGGTTTGTACATGTCCAGAGGAGGGACAGTGGTTTGGACATGTCCAGAGGTGGGACAGTGGTTTGGACATGTCCAGAGGTGGGACAGTGGTTTGGACA